CCCATGCGATACCTGATCAAAGTCAACAAAACCTGCGTATGCCCTGGCAGCAACAGGAACACCTCAAAGAGCTCATCCGTCAGCGCGTGAAATGGGAGGGCCGCCTAATGGTGGTGCTTCCCGTGGTGCCTTTGCTCTCATCTCCATGGACGACATGCACAGGTGGTATGCCCACCTGGGCATACATTATATATCTGCCTTTCCTCTTGAAAGCGAAAGTGACCGAATCTTGCACGAGTTAATAGTAGGCTGTTTAGGAAACAGCTTGTCTTGTTGCCAACTGCTCAACCTGTTTGCATGGAACATCACGGTTCACCTTTTCATCCACTTTGCACAGAAATCCCACGGTGAAAGTAATGGGTTCTCCTGTTTGTGGCTGACCAAGGAAGCTGTGATGCTTCAGAAATTGCAATCTCCAGAGTACATTTGGTCTTTGGAGCATATTTTGGGCTTCTGGCTTTGGGGCCCTTTGGAGCACCTCGACCCTTGGCCAACCAGAGCCGGCCCTGCAGCTTTTTTGCATTCTTTTGCTAGTTTGTTTGCACGGTGCTCATGACAGGATTTGGGGTTTGGGGGAGTTTCTTCGTGATTCTTTTCTGCCCTCAACTGCGTGCACAGTCTGTTTTTACCAAAGAGAATTTCATTGGATTGGTCGGATTTCTTGTTGACCGCAGTTTTTCACCACGAAGGATATCTTCACCGATGGGGCCATGCCCTGGCAGGCTGCGGCCTGCGACCCCGAGGCGACCAACCACTTCGTCGCCGCCTTTGAAGGTGCCGGGCCCTCCCAGCTCTTTCAGCCGCTGGCGCAATGGCTGGGCCTGTCAGGCCTCTTGGCCTTGACCTTCGTGTTTGCCACGGCCGTGCAGCAGTTTGCCTTCAGCGCGATGACACACCCGGACAGGGCCGCAGCCCTCGCGGCGGACGTGGCGGGCCTCCACGGCCTGGCCACCTACTTCGACGAGCGCGCCGGGAGCGGACCCGGTGGGACGAGCGGAAAGGCGATCTTAGTCGTTTTGTTCAAAGTGCTGGCAGAGAATTTGCCCCAGCTCTTTTTGCAAACGGCATTTTTAAGCGCCGCCTTCACCCGCTTCGACGGGTGGGGGCGGCTCAAGATCATGATCTCTTTGGGCTTGGGACTGATCAGCGCGACTCTCAAACTGTCCCAGTTTGCCATGGCAGGGATCTCGATCATGTGGCAAAGACCGGTGGACCGAGGATTTGCCTTGTTCGTCCTTTTGGTCGTTCCATTGCCAGGATTCCTCATGGTGGCGTGGGTGGTGGCCCGCATCATCATGGCCCACAAGTGCCCCAGTCACCAGTGGAACCTGGCCACTGGATGTGTATGAGAAGGCATCAAGTGATCTTCCGGAAGAAAAAGAGCCGCTCCGACGAACCGTTGATTGGGACATGAAGCAAAACCAAGTTGGTCACGCCCCACCTGAAGACAGAACTATCTAAAACCCATCAAAATGACCATACTAATCTAATCAATAGGGTTTGACTTTGGGTGCCACCCTCCCAGTCCACACCATCCAAACCAACCCCTTCTCGAACACGCCACGCGCCACGCACCACGCGGCACGGTTGAGCGCTCTCCGAGGCTCTTCGCGGGAGATTTGCCTTCTTCCGCTCGGATACGACGTCCCCCCACGTCGAGGCAGAGCTGCGCTTGCGCCCGGGCGGTATTGAAGTGGTGAAGTGGGCCATGGGCAACAACAACAACAAAAGAGAAACCTTTGGTTGGGGGTGTGGTGGGTGGATGTTTGTAGAAAAGCGGCTCTATGAGAGCATTGCTTTTGGGTGAAAGGAATGACATACCAAACAAACGAGCTGATAGCAAATCGCCGGTACACGTCAAGAATTCATGTTGCAAGACCCTTTTCCCTTACAAGCAATGCATTTCCACTTTCATGTGTCTTTCTTTACAGTTTCATGCGTGTCAGCAGGTGGAAGAGGTGGAAGGCTTGAGGAATTGTGAAGTCCAAACTTCTGTAAAGTGTTTTTGTAAAGTCTTTGTTTTGTCTAGGCACTGTAAACGGTTTCCTTTGGCCGCCTTTGGTTGGTTTGCTTTACCGCCTCTCAGTTGTGGATGTGAGGAAGGAGCTCTCCCACCAAAAGTGGACAACGACCGTGTGAGTATTTGTGAAGTGGGGACATTGCTGGAGATGACTGAAGATTTCTGAGGAAAGATTGGTAGAAGCAGAGTTCGAAGACAGTTTTGTTGAAAGCTTTTTAGCCATCGACATGTGAATCGGAGCTGGGCACATAACCTCCACCCTCGCAACAATGGACCCGAGTATGGACCCGCTGTTCCTCTCAAGAAACCACTGGTAAAAACGACCAAAACCAGAATCCATGTTGAAATCTTTTCGCTCGGAATGGATGTCTTTTCTCGCAGCAGGGACTTTTCCTCCAAGGTATGGTGGTTGCAACCTTTGGAGAAACGGCTTCGACTTTGGCCACTTGGATCTTCGTTGACTCGGTCGACGACAGCAGCACGGAGACGTTCAACTGGTGGGTGGGTTTCAGAAACGTTGGAATGCTTCAACCTCAAAAACCTGAGAGCTGTTCAAAGAGAAACACAAGGAAACTGGTGGGTTCAAAGAGGGTCCCAAGTCCCAAATGACGTCCAACAACTTTGTATGCGGTGTTCTGTGCACTGAAGATCTGCATATCGATCAAAGATCTTCATATTTTTGGGGTGGGCTTTAATTTGTAGAAAAGGCATAAGCGTTTCATAGTTGGAAAGATGGCAACCCATACTTACCAAAACATACGAGTTGAAAGGTTCTCAGTGAAAGCACCTTGATCCATTTTGAACCATTATAAAATTGAACACCCACCCGTGACACTGCAACGGCTCTTGCGAGGCTACCTCTACCAGCACTTTAAGACTTTTGTTGCTCCGCCCGTGCGGCGCCCGCGCACGAGCCGGGCGTCGACCGCACGAGGACCTCTTGGCCCCTCGGCCGTTGCTTCCGTCTTCTGTGGGGAACATGGTCGAAATGGAGAGTGGCTTCCTACTATACTGATAGGGGTTCATACATTTTGGTTACGCAGTGCCATTGTAAAACTCTACTTCGAAGGTATGGCTCCAAGAGAATCCCAAGGCAACTTCAACCAGAAAGTCCAACCAAGGCGACTTCTTTCAAGGACGACCAACCGCGTTCACATCCAAGCTGTCCAAGCAATGACTATACGCGATCCAACGGATTGCATGGGCGTCACGGTGAAGGAATTTGAATTGGCCAAGGACTCTGATCAAACACCAGAAGCTTCATGGTGAATCGACCAAAAAAGTTTCATGACTTCATGAAAAAGCCACCACAACTTAGCCCTTGAAATCCATCATTATTCATTCTCATTCAAACACCAGACCCTCTCAGACGCACTCAAAGCTCCATTCATCAACCAGGTCCGCCTCCGGCGCCTCTTCGTCGCCGACGCGGCCGCGCTGCTGGCGGCGCGGCGGCGCGGCGCCTGGCCGCGCGCGACGCCGCGGAGGACGAGGGCGGCGACGGTGAGGAGGATGAAGAAGACGATGTGGCGGAGGCGATGGGGACGTGGCTTGGTTTGAAGATGATGATCTCATGATATGGGTTGATTATAGTGGGTAGGTGTGAGTGGGGGGTTGGTCTGAAGGGAATCACTTTGTATGGCAGTTGGTTGGTCCAACAGTTGGAGTTTTGGATGGGTTTGCGCTGGCAAGGCCCATCAGTTCCTTCCAAGTGGAGTCATTTCACTCCCGAAAACATTCATTTCAGTGAGACCGGTGCTCCAGTTTGTTGTAAAAAGCATGTCTTCCTTGAGCAGATCGGACGTGAAGAAACGGAAAGGTTCCTCCAAGTCGGATGATCTCTCCTTTGGCATCTTTGGCTCTCGACTTGTGAATCGATTTCTCCATGATTTTCGGAAACTGGAATCCCTTCCCGACCTGTTTTCCCCATTTGCGCGAGGCCGAGGCCCTGCATGCCGGTCCATGTGGCCGATGCCGTGGTCACTGGGAGACGGACCGAAGTCGTGTCGCCCTGGCGTGACGGGTCGTGAAGTCGGCCTGAGGTGGTTGAAGTCCAACGACATGAGGTATATGGTTCGGATGGTCTCGTTCACGTTCTTCGGATTCGGAGTCCAACGATGAACGCAAAGTATAGAAGTTTCAGACTTGCAAGAAGGCCCCACCATGCCCCACCAGAGAGGAAAGGATCGCATGTTTTGGGGGGGTAGATGGTTGAAATCCGATGTCTTCACCAGATTTCCGGAAGAACCTTCCAAACGTCGTGCAATTCCAACCATTCAAGATCTCGGTTTTTCGACACCCTCAGGTGTCGCCATATATCTCATCAATCCCGGCATATCCCGGCCTATCTCCACTCTCAGCGGACTCCACTCCACTATAAACCTCACCCTAACCGCCATCAACTCTGGATCACTCGACCACTGGGCCGATCCACCCAAGAGAGGTTACGTGACCTGAACTAGAACCCTGGTCTGTTGGTACATATGGGATGGGCGACCTTGGAGCTCTTCAACCTCTCTAGGACTGGACCAATCCATAGAAGGCCCCACCAACAAGGAATGTATCTCATCAATCCAAATCAATCCCAGCTCGACCGCGCTGGACCCAAAATCGAGCCCGAGCGCAGAATGGACGAAGATTCCTCAGGGATTGGTGTGGCATGAGCAGGTTTGAGAGATCCAACATGATCAAACTCTTCTTCCCCACTGATGATGATGGTGGTGGGTGGGTGGGATAAGGTTTTGAGGAGTGTTTTTCTTTGGCCATGACTGGGCTATACTGGGCTACGGACGGCCATGACTTGTGGAGGAGGAGAGGACACTTGGGACGTTCACATGTTAAGTCAGGAGACGGCAGGAGACGATTCGACAAGGCGACCGTGCGGCGAGACGGAGAGGGGCGACGGCCACTTGGCAGAGCACATGGGTGGTGAGGTGCTTTGATTTGGCTTGAAATGCTCACCATTGTGAAAGCAGCAGGGTTTTTGAGCGGAAGAATGCAGATGTGTCTGAACCGCTCATTTCCTTTCAAGCCCGCGACAAGGTTTTGGTCGCCACATGGTTTCGCCTTGATGAGGAGCGTTTCATTCCCCCCTCTTCGACCACTGGTTAGTTACTAACCTTAGTAGAGAGGATTGGCTCAAACACTGGGCCAATCACTTGAAATGCGTAAAATCGGAATTCACCGTCCTTCCAAACGACTAGAAGTTGCCACTTGCCACCAAGAGTTGCCCAAAAAGTTGATCATATGTTTTCCATCTGAAGAGAACCAGTCCTCTCACCCCCCTTCTTCGACCGCTGAGGACGGATGTCTTCACCTCAAAGGTGCCACTGGGCGCCCAGCGGCCTGGATCAACGTGGGAGGGTCGGAGGCCCTTCATCGAGCGACCTGACCTCACCGACTGGTTCGTCCCATCCTCACCTTTTCACCAAGAAATTCATGGGATGATGAATCCCACTGACCGTCCCACTGACTCATTTTTGGTTGAAACCGCCAACCAGTCCCTTGGTCAAATCGCCGTTTCGGCCAGTCTCAGTGCAGATGAGTGAGTGTGAGGTGCTTTCGCTGAACCGCAACGTAGATGTCCTCGTGTCCCATGAATTGTTCGATGCATGGAATGTCAAGATGTGAGATTTAGATGTTTGAAATGGATATCTTCACAATAAGAAAAGAAACTAACTGCCTTAAGACAAAACCCATGCCGCCCATGCCTTTTCTCGATGTGGCCGGGAACATGGGCTGGCGAACTCGGCCCTGTTCTTGCGTCAAAATCTCTCGAAAGCTTTCCAACACGTCTTCCAACACGTCAGGTGTGTGATCGCCGCCGAGGACACCGTGGAAGCGCCAAGCCGTATAGGCGTTCGATTTTGGGCGGGATGGGGTTTCCGGACCGGTGAAAACAGCCAATTCGCTTCACAAAATCTGGGACGGTTTATGATTGGCTTCACAATGCTGGCTGGAAAGAATTCACGGAAGCCATCTATGGTGACGGTTGAACAAGTCGAACCATGGTTTATCCAGTTAGCAGCTTGGCCAGTTCCCACCTATAGGGATAAACATGGTTGAACCTATATGACATCCCCAGATGATGGCAACCCTTTTGCCATGTCGCACATGATGTCTCGGAGGTCGATTTGATGCTTCTGCACTGGCCTGGAGCCACTGCCAGCGGCACGCTGCAGCATGGGCAGCCGCTGCCCAGCTGTTGTCGGCGCTTCGAACGAGAGGAGCGGTTGCGCGGGGTCATCGCATGGGGCCCTTCAGGAGGGGAAGACACTTTGAGGGCAGAATAAAATGGGCAAGTTCGGGACTACTTGCAGCAGCAGATCCCTTCCACCATTTTCCACGCTCCGGTCGGGGGTCTCTATATAAAGTGCTTGGAATCGCATTCGGCCCTTGAGGAGGGGAGCCACTTTTGAGGTTGTTTTGTGCATTAAAGGCCTGGGATTAAAATGGACAAGTTCGGGACTACTACTTGCTGATCCCCGCAGCAGATCCCCCTCCTCATCATCCCCGACTAGGAGGGCGTGGTGGTCTCCTGGAGATCTTGCCGGATGGATCCTTGGGCTGACGACAGGTATGGTGGGTTCTTCCGTTGGTCGGTTTGTTCCGTTCTTTTTCCGATGTCCAGTCGCTTCTGGGCCGGTTTGGGCCTGTTTGTTCCAACGAACCACACGTAGTTCATGAAATCTGCAGGATCCAACCGTTCTTGATATAGAATTTGCTGATCCCTGAGGCCCGTCTATAGTTCAAGCACGTTGCTTGACTTTGGGTGCCACCCTGCCAGCTCACACCATCCAAATCAACCCCTTCTCGAACACGCCACGCGCCACGCGCCACGGTTGAGCGCTCTCCGAGGCTCTTCGCGGGAGAGTTGCCTTCTTCCGCTCGGACATGACGTCTTCCCACGTGGAGGCGGAGCTGCGCTTGCGCCCAGGTGGCATTGAAGTGGTGAAGTGGTCCATGGGCAACAACAAAAGAGGAACCTTTGGGTGCCGGGGGTGTGGTGGATGTTTGTAGGAAAGCGGCTCTATGAGAGTGAGAGCGATTTCATGGGTGAAAGTGCTGGAATGACCTACCAAGCAAAGAAGTTGATATCGCACTCCGCCGGTACACATGTACACACATGTACACACAGATGGAAGTGCAGGATCGTTTCCTCTACAAAAAGTGTTTTGTTTCCAGTGCCACGCGTTGGTCTTTTCCGTGTCATGCGTGTCAGCAGGTAGAAGGTTTAAGGACCTAGGAGCTCCAAGTGTGAAGTTCAATCTGTGCTTGCGGTTTGTTTGGTTTGTAGGAGCTGTTTGTTTTCTTTGGTCGCCTCACGGAGACAGCTGTGGCCACTCGGGGGCTGCTTGGGAGGCCAGGGAGAGAGAAGGTGAGTGGGTGTGGAGTGTGGACCTTCATCACTTTCTTCCCAAGTTCAAAAGGGCAACTTGGACCCAAAGTGGATGGACTCAACTTCAGCCGCCACCCACCGCGCGCCGCTCGGAAACACCGGTGACCTGGTTGAGGTGACACCGGTGCGATGATGCAGCTGGAGCTGGTGCAGATCGCCCAACACCACGCGGCGTCACCGGCGCAGGTGCTCTATCGGTGCCTTGGGCAGAGGATCCGGTTTTGGGTGGAGAGCAGCAGACCAGAGAGGAGCAGGATGGTGTAGGGTACGGTAGTTGGTGGATTTTTGATTGAGGTCCCTGATAAATTGAGGGCATGGGGTAGTCGTTGGGTGTTTGAGATTTGGTCATGAGTTTTTTCCGCACTTTGCCCTTCATTTTCTATACTACGAAAAAGAATAGTGCATATAGTCAAGAGTTTTGGACGCCCGGACAGTAGATCCAACTGACCAGAGAGGAACAAGATGGAGCAGGGGCACCATGCAAGCAACAACTCAAGACGGATTTGTCAGAGACCTCTCAGATCTCATGAAACGATCTGATAGGATTGAAGTCTCATTAGCGGGATGTTTCAAAAGCACAAGCCTTCAAGGAAAGATACCTGACAGGCAGGAACATGGATGACATGGACACACAAACCCTATCAAACCTAAACGAATTTGAATTCCGAAGAGTCCAAGGAGGCCCTATATACGACATGGCATTGCCGGAAATCTTCCAGGTTTTTGTTGAGGTTCCTTAGAAATTGAGAGCATACGGTATTGATGTGTTTCTCGTGGAACTTGGCAATGTTCACCCCCCAATGTCCAGTCGCCCCCCACATCCATGAGGTCCAAAAAA